CCACTTTCTTATTATTTATAGGTTATGTTTAGTACATAATGGAAAGGACACATCTGCCCTTAGTACTTACATAATAAATAAAGTAAATAAAAGCTGAAATAAATAACAACTGAATTAACAAACTGACTCAAACTGACACTACTATAACTGGAACAAACAACTACACATGCTGTCCTACAAACACAGTGGGGCCCACGTCAGTGGGGCCCACATTAGTGTTCTCTACAAAGTTGAATCACAAGGGTGTAGTATCATTGACTAAAGTTTCATCAATTTGGTTAAGGCATGACTGAGATATGATCAGGTCTTTGGTTAGGTGAAAAGAGGGTTGCTTCTACCTTTTCACTTTGTACTATCATTGTAAGGGTACTTTATGGTATTAAATTGATAGATTTTAGTCTTAAAAGCCAATCCAGGACATCAACAGGTAGGTTAGGGAATCTAAAGAATTTGTGTGGTTTTAGGTCTTTCTTCAACTAATTTGTTCTTTGTTGTTTGTGAATTTTTTGGTTGCTTTACCAACACATTGATTTCCAACCTTCTCTTTAATTTTGTCTGATTGTCACTGTATTTCTAAATTACTTAGAAAATTGATATTTATTTATGGTCACATTCTTGTATCGTGACTTCATGATATGCCAGAAACTGAGAAACCACTTGACATCTAAAGACAAAGGTCATGTGTCAATGTAACGCTGCACTTGGTGCAATAAAATTTTGCTCCTTAAGCAAGTCTCTTGCAAAAGAAAAGGTAAGGTGACTAATTAAATGAAAATAGACAAGATACCTGTGGAAGATCTTCAAGTTCAGAGTATGCACCCTTTCCAGCTAATAGCAAGTCTATCTGGCTAATTATTGGCATCAATATTGGAGATTGAGGAGTCATGCTACCCACAGATGATGTTGCCATTCCTTGATCAGATTTTAGACCAAAACGAGTTTTACATGACATAAATGATAGACCCTTTAGGTCATCCATCACAAAAGAATCATCAGCTTCTGTGAAGCAATCAAGCATGTCCCCAGAGCCCCTACGGGGCCAATCACTGTGTTTTGGAGATGGAGTATCAGATTCTTCAGTGATACTTGAGTTTGAAACTTTTGCAACATCTGGGCTTCCAATTGCATTGTGCAAATCCTTTTGTGAAAAGGACTCAAGAGTTTCAGCAATCCTGATGAGACGCTCATTAACACTTAAACCTTTCTGGTCACATCTATCTGCAATAGCACAGATTCTTGAATGGTCTTCCACATGAAATGTTGGAACCTCCTCCTCACAAATGCGACAAATTATAGAACTTTCATCAGCAATATTCTGTTGATCTCCCCAGTAGCCCCAAGAAACCTTTTTCTGGTGCTTGGAAAGAACAGAAGAATATGCAGTAAAATCCTTGCTAGAAGGAAGTTCAGAAGGCCTAATAGCAGCCAGATCTGTATCATAATTTTCTTTCCTGTTGTTTGACATGTTCAAGGAATCAATCTTGATGCCATACTGTCCATCCTTCATTGGGACAGAATCCTTCTGATATTTTGCTACAAGAGAAGGGAGTTTCTTTGAAGAAGCTATACATTCCCTGCTTGAAAGTGATTGAATATTCTTTTTAGTTTCTACATCAGGGGGTGAGAGCAAAGTTATGGGTTGTATTGCATGTTCTCTCTTCCAATCCAAGCCATGTTGCTCTTGACTATAAAATTTCCTATTAAATGCTGCCTTTGAGCCCCTTGCAGCACTAAAAGTCTTCCCATCCCTTCCTGTGCCTGATGAAACTCGTTTATCAGCAGAATGTATCATTCTACATTGATGAAGACCAAGAAGTTGCTCATCCTCTGCAAATCCACTTTCCTTATGAAACTGCAACAATCGTGTACACCTGGTAAGAATGAAAAGCATCCGTGTGTGCAACTGCTTCAGCATGCCCATGGGAAGTTCTTGGCGTTGATCATCCAAATCCTGAACTATGCCTTCACACTGAAGCCAAAACTCACCAGGTGACATTACAGCACAACGCCGTGCCAAAACCAACAAATCTTCAATGATTTCCTGCCACTCGGGATGGGTTTCTACATTTTTTTCTAGAATTCCAACAAGATCTCCTGCAAAAATAGCCAGATCAGAGTCCACTTCTTCCTTTGCTTTGTCAAATTTTGCCCGTATTACAACCAAAACCTCCTGTATGGAACAATGAGAGTGTTAAAAACAAAAAGGAACAGCAAAAGCACCATGAATTAAATATTGACAAGAGAAAAAGGTATTATACTTTCCAGTCAGCAACTAGGTTATAAAATTACCTCCAAGTTATTTAAGCCCCGGGGCTTCCAAAATGGAAAAGGCCGTACACCTTTAGAGTTCAATTCATGGGAGAAGCTTTTTATATCACCAGGAAACTTTTTCCTAGGAGCACTTGTAACCCGAAGTAGTGCTTGAAAACGTGGAGATTCAGACTCCTTTGGCATGTCACAATCATTTGAAGTCTACAAAAGAAAAAACAAACAACCAATCACCATGTTATTTCAGAAAAAAAATCTAAATAAAATAAAGTAATCCAGTCAAAAATGCTTAGCAAATACATAGAAATACCAAGAAAAGGAACCTTGACTACCTGTGCATCTGGAGTACACATGTCTGAACTTCTTAAAGCACCATTTTGTTCCCATGACGAATCATATCGCCCTGGAAGAGAGTATTTAGGAATTAAGTGGAGACCTTATCAAATTACTTAAGTATGTCAAGAAGTTCATGTGCATGGATATGATAAGGTACAGTTACCAAAAAAGACAGTTTTTAAGAAGGAAAAGAAAACAAAACCAGTAACAATCATCACATAAAAGGTCAAAAAAACTTATTTAACAATAATAAAAACCTAATTCAAGATCAAAGGAGAAAGAAGACAGAGAAAAGAGAAAAATGAAAAATGAAAAAAGGGTTAAAGAATTAAAGAAAGAAGAAAATAAGTCAGCAAAAACATGATGTTGCAGCTAGCAGCCCCTTTCCATATACCAAAAAATGCAGCCAATATCTCATACCAAAACCAAACCAAGACCAGAAAAGAAACCAAAACTACAAAACCCAATACACATCTAGACCCCCTCCTCGGGGGAAAAAAGGTTAGGAACAATTAGATGCACAGGTGTAAGGGGTTGTAGCAGTAGCTATTGAAACATCTTATTGTACACATATTGATACGCTCAAATGTACCAGCAGGGGTGTGTCGATACTTGGGGATGGCAACTTTCCCCATCCCCAACGGGTACCCAACTTCCCCAACCCGATGGGCTCGGGGATGGGGATTAATAGGGATCGCAAATCAGGGTTGGGATTGGGAGTGAGGTCCCTGCCCTGCCCCCCCCCCACCACCACACACACACACACACACACACACACATATATATATATATGATATTATTTATATATATCAAAAATATTTTAAATATTACTTATATTTTAATTTTTTTATTTATTTTAAATAAATTTATTTTTCAAAAAATACTATTAACTAAAATTTTCAGGGATTCAGGTCCCCACGGGGAACCCATCCCCGCCGGGGATCGGGGATGGAGGACAACATTTATCTCCGACGGGATTCGAGGTTGGGCTCAGGAACGGGGAATATGATCCCCGCCTCATTGCCATTCCTATCGATAATTTTTGGCCACATGTGTTATTTTTTTTAGTTCTTTCCAAATTTCATTTTTATACAGATTTTTGCATTATTTAATCAATAAAAAAGTTGGGTTCCTGAACCTGTAAACAGGTGTATCGGATACTCAAAGATACGATACAGTACCATATCAATACTTTGAACCTTAATTGTACATATCATATATTCATATTATGAGTAATAGTTGACAATAAAATAAAAATAAAAATAAAGAAGAAGTACAGTAGATCCAAATGGCAATTTCTTTTCATTCAATAAATGGCAATATCAGGATAGGAATTTGCATATGATGAGAGATGACAAGAAATATAAAGAAGTTCATCATACTCATAAATCTATGATGTACGAATAAATAGCCTTGATGCAAATAAAGAGTAGCAGTGGAGACTGGCTAATCTCAGAAACAAATGGAACAAATGGTGTCTTGGGCTTAAGTATCCTTAAGGGTCTCAAAGGCTCAGAAATGCACCAGGTGCTTTCCCTCCTCAAGTGTCACAAAGAAGTTGCTATCCCTTCAGGCCTAGGAATAAAGATTGGTAATTGTAAGATAAAGTTACTCCCATTATGCTTTTTCCCTGATGCACTGATGACCATATCATAGAACTCTTCCCTCCCAAATCTATGTGAAATTCTTCAGTTTTTGAAATCAAGCCCTCAAGAAGAATGCTAGGGTGTTTCAATAGAAAAGAAACTCCCCAAGGCCCTAATGGATGATATTACAATTAAGGTGGCATATCAGATTAACACTAGAGATGAGTATAGAGGTTTCAGTAGCTGCCTCATCTCAAGAAGCAACGAACAGGTCTGGTCCCCACCAGTTCAAAGAGCAATGAAACTTAACTTTGATGGCTGTTTGTCAGAAAGCCCAGGACTCTCAGGTGTAGGAGGCTTGTCAGGAGTCACGAGGGAGAGATACTGCAGGTATATTCCACCCCAGCTAGTGTTGGTGATTTCACAAGAGAGGAAATGCTTACTCTTTTTAGGAGCTTGGGATTGAAGGCCTCTTTAGAGTAAAGCACAATGGAGGGGTAAAGGATTCACAAGCAGTGGTAAGGTGGAGATACGGTAATAGACCATGGTGCTATTTAAATTGTATCAAGGAAGTTGGTTTGGAGTCTAGAGGGAACATCTTATATTCTTATTCTGCTAGAAAAAGGATATTGGCCAATAAGCTATCCAATTTTCTGGCCAGGTATAATGTAAGTAGGGATGTTTTGTATTGAAGCTCAGCCCCTCCCCAAAGTATACAGGGGCTGATTTGGTCAAACTAAAGGCTCTTTTTTTATCAGTTAAACTAAGGTGTCTTCTTTTTCCTTTTAAGCTGCTAAGTGAGAGTTGTATGTTGTATGTACTCCACTTGAGTTGTATGTTCTTAGAGCTTTGATTATCTAGTGTCATTTGTTACATCTCTCTTCAAGATCTATTCCATGATTCCAGACGATATCATTGATCTCTTTTGACGTTTAGATATCATAGTCCTTGGGATCTTTTAACAGGGAAGTGGAAAGATGGGACAGATGTGAAATATCAAGAGGTTTTAGAAGAATTACACCCCCTACCCCCATTGATTAAAAATCTGCTAAAACAACAGAAAACATGGCAAGAAGTTCATTACTCTTCCACTTGATCCTGTTTTAGGAGCCAAAATGCAAAAATCAGAAGCAGAAAGTAGTGGCTTTGCTTTACATTTACAACATGAATTTTTCCCACCCCAATCCAAGCAAAGACTCAGGGGAAGTGGAAAGATGGGACAGATGTGAAATATCAAGAGGTTTTAGAAGAATTACACCCCCCTACCCCAATTGATTAAAAATCTGCTAAAACAACAGAAAACATGGCAAGAAGTTCATTGCTCTTCCACTTGATCCTGTTTTAGGAGCCAAAATGCAAAAATCAGAAGCAGAAAGTAGTGGTTTGCTTTACATTTACAACATGAATTTTTCCCACCCCAATCCAAGCAAAGACTCGGGGGAAATAAGATAAATGACAGGGAAGTATTTGTTTGTGATGTGACCTTTCAGGTGTTTGCTTGTGATAACTTTTTCTGAGTAGTTCAGAGAAAAGTAATTCAAGGATTTGTATAGTGACTCATGTGCATGTTTTGTAAATGGTGTTTTATATGATGAATATAATGCTACTTTACCTTTTGCTCAAAAAGTAATAGTAGTAGTGGTGGTAGTAGTAGTAGTAGTAGTAGTAGTAGTAATTATAATTATAATAGCACATTGTTGCCAAGATAACCATCAAATGCTCAGTCGGTTAGTAACTCTTTCGAGGCTTATTCTAGTAACATAATCGTGAGAGAATGACATTGTGCAGATGAGATATCACTCCCCCCAGATTCTCAGATTTGTTGAAACAGTAACAGCACACTATTGTCAAGATCAAGGTTTAAAATATTGGTTTTGATGGAAATGTCAACCAATTACAAATAAGAAATAAGTCAGAAACATCAGAAATGCTATATAGATTAGATGTAAATCAGTCCTCAAAAATAGGTGTAAACTTCAAAATTAGAGAGAAAAATGAGGAAGAAAAGTAAGAGCAGCAGTACAGGAGAAGAAGATGGAGAAAAGAGGAGGAAGAAGAAGAAGAAGAAGAAGAAGAAAGGTTCGAATAATCCTTCCCTCCCTTCTCTAATCCTTTTTACTAAAATTTAATGTTAAAATAATTACAAGTATGCCCTTGAGTGGATGGCCAGCTAGGCAGTAACATAAAGAGATCAAACAAAAAGAAATAACAGGCCCATTATTTAACAGGAAAATAGAAAAAATAATACAAGAGAATATACTAGGACCCATTCGGCCCAGTCTCTTTACACTCCCCCTCAAGCTGAGCATAGATGCCAATCATGCCCAGCTTGCTTATATAGTGTGTCATTTTCCCTCTCAGAACTCCCTTGGTCAAGATATCAGCAAATTGTTCTTCTGATGTGATGAATGGCAAACAAACTTCTCCTGAGGAAACTCTTTCCCTTATAAAATGTCTATCAACCTCAATGTGCTTAGTTTTGTCAGGTTGAACAGGATTATGTGCAATATTGATAGCTGCTTGGTTGTCATAGTAGAGCATTATTGGCTTCTCATAGTCGACCCTCAATTCTTCTAAAAGGGATCGTAGCCACAATAATTCTGACACACCATGTGCCATTGCCCTGTGTTCTGCTTCAGCTGAGGATCTAGCAACTACAGACTATTTCTTATTCCTCCATGAAACAATGTTCCTAGCGACCAGAGCACAATAACCCGAGGTGGATCTCCTATCATCAATACATCCTGCCCAATCAACATTAGTGAAAGCTTCCAGCTTCATGTGTCCATGTTTGGCAAATAGAATACCTTTCCCTGGAGTACCTTTTAAGTAACACAGAACCCTTTCTGCAGTAACTAAACGAGTATCTCTGGGAGAATGCATAGATTGACTAATAACACTTACTGCATAGGAAATCTCCGGCCGAGTCATGCAAAGATATAACAACTTCCCAAGCAGTCTCTGAAACACTCCCTTATCAGATAAAAGTTCACCATCTGTAGCAAAAAGCTTATGATTAAGATCAATAGGAGTGGAGATTGGTTTAGCTCCAAGTTTACTAGTCTCAGCAAGGAGGTCAATGACATATTTACGCTGAGAAATGAAGATACCATCCTTAGATCTAGCAACTTCAATGCCCAAAAAAATACTGAAGATCTCCCAAATCCTTGATCTCAAATTCAGAGTTAAGAAATCTTTTGAGTTTACTGACCTCTTAGGTGTCATTACCCATAACCACAATATCATCAACATAAACTATCAAAAAGGTCACCAGAGAGCCATTTCTCTTCAAGAATAGAGTATGATCAAATTAAGTTTGTGTGTAACCAAAGGAGACAAGAGCAGCCTTGAACCTCTCAAACCAATACTGACCTCTTAGGTGTCATTACCCGTAACCACAATATCATCAACATAAACTATCAAAAAGGTCACAGGAGAGCCATTTCTCTTCAAGAATAGAGTATGATCAGATTGAGTTTGT